CGCCATGCGGAGATGTGGGAGGCTGTGGCTGGGGGCTGATGCTCAGTGTCCTGAATGGGGAACCCAAGCAGAGAGCTGATTTGACCCAGACCTCAGGGTAGCAGGAGAAGGGACTGGAGCTTGGACTCCATGGGGACTTGGGTTATCTGACAAGCAGGGGAGAGTCAAGACTTTATTTTTTGAGGTACAGTTTTGCTCTTGTTGCCCAGGCTGGAGTGCAGTGGTACCATCTTAGCTCACCGCAACCTCTGCCTCCTGGGTTCAAGCAATTCTCCTATCTCAGCCTCCCAAGTAGGTAGGATTACAGGCCCCCGCCACCATGCCTAGCTAATTTTTGTATTTTTAGTAGAGACGGGGTTTCACCATGTTGGCCAGGCTGGTCTGGAACTCCTGACCTCAAACAGTCCCTCCACCTTGGCATCCCAAAGTGCTGGGATTACAGGCGTGTGCCACCATGCCTGGCCGAAGGCATTATTTATTTATTTTTTTTTTGAGATGGAGTTTTGCTCTTGTTGCCCAGGCTGGAGTGCAGTCGCACGATCTCGGCTCACCGCAACCTCCACCTCCTGGGTTCAAGTAATTCTCCTGCCTCAGCCTCCCGAGTAGCTGGGATTACAGGCATGCGCTGGGTTCAAATGATTCTCCTGCCTCAGCCTCCCGAGTAGCTGGGATTAGAGGCCTGCACCACCATGCCCGGGTAATTTTGTATTTTTGGTAGAGACAGAGTTTCTCCATGTTGGTCAGGCTGGTCTCAAATTCCTGACCTCAGGTGGTCTGCCCACCTCGGCCTCCCAAAGTGTTGGGATTACAAATGTGAGCCACTGCACCTGGCCTGGCTTTATTTTTAAAGAGCTGTTGGCTAACCTCAGTTGTGGGGTTGGAGGGTGTGGAAGGGGTGTGGCTTCCTCTTAGGCAAAGATGCCGAGCCCTCCACAGGTTGGCCCACTGGAGGTAATCACCTATAACCTCTTCATCTTCAAAGCCACTCACCTGCCCGGCCTCTCCCACCCACCTTACCTGACCAGCCACATCTCAGAACATCATGGTGGTTTTCAGGCCAGCTGAAGCTGCTCTCCAGGGAGCAGACGTGAGCAACCCAGAGGCTGCTGCTGTTCTATCCCAGGCAGCCTGGTGTGACGCCCAAATCTGAAACTCTGGTGGGAGGAAGTTTGCAGAACAGGCAGGCCTAGGTGGCAGTCCTGGCCTTGCCTCTATACTGCTGTGACTTTAGGCAAGTGATTTGACCTCAGGTCTTTTCAGATTTCTTGTTTAGAAAGGAGGAGTAATAATGCCTACCTTGATGGCCTGGTGTGGTGGCTCACGTCTGTAATCTCAGCACTTCGAGTGGTTGAGTTGAGAGGATCCCTTGAGGCCAGGAGTTCAAGACCAGCCTGGGCAACAAAGTGAGACTCCATCTCTACAAAAATAATAATGCTAATATCTACCTTTCTGTGAGAGGATTCCACAGGATACTACATGTAGTGTGCTTAGCACCATGCCTGGCATATAGTAGCACCCCCAGTGGAAATGTTGGAGGTATTGATGAAGCCTTGTTTGTGTGATGTTGGGATAAACCTTGGCTCCATGCTTTGCCCAGTGTCTTGCCAAGTGGTGGGACCTGCCTAAATGGAGGCATGAAGCATTTTTATTGAGTCCTTGATTTTGCTCCTGGCTGTGTGTCCTCGGGCAAGTTTATTTCATTCTCTGGACTGCTCTGTGGACCGAGGAATTGGAGTAGGTAAACATTGACATCCCTTGATATTTGGAATCTGTTCAGCTTTCCCAGCTGGGCCCTGCTTTGCCAGTTGGCTCTGAAGAGAGGCCCAAGCCACCTTTCTCCATGTGGCATGGAGGCTTTTATTCCAGAGTGAGACGGTGCTGAGCCTGCAGCCTCCAGCTAACCTCTGCAGTCCCCCACACCTCAACACCCTTTGGGCTCTCTTGGCTTCCAGGGGCTTTTACAGATACGCGCCCCCCGTCCCCGTCCGTCCGTCCCCCCCCGCCGCCCCCGTCTGGAGGGGAACCTGTTTCTGGCTGACTGGGGCTAGGATTATTTCTTAAGAAGAGTGTTAATAGACCATGCTGTGCTTGGAAATGCCCCCAGGGAAGAGCAGCAGCTCTGGGAAGGAGCTGGCTTTGTGAACTTCTCAAGTGTAGCATTCCTTCTGAGGCCCACAGGTGTAGATTTCAGATTTTTCTGGGAGGGTGGTGGAAAGAGCAAGGACTTTGAAGACACAAGATAAAGTTTTGAATCTTGCTTCTGGCTCTGTAACAGCAGAGCCTCAACTTCCCTCTGGAGAATGGGGACATAAGACTCCTCCATAGGAGGTTTATAAGCATGGATTCGAATATGTGAAGGACCCAGCCCAGGGAAGTACTCGTTAGCTCCCTTCTTTTGGGAAGGATCTGTCTTTTGGATATTTTGTAGATTGGTCATGGAAGTGGAAATATTTGCCTGTGGCCATTTTTCCCAGGGAAAAACAGGACTGCCTGGCAAGCTGTTGCAGTCCCAAAGGCCTCTCCATCCCCTAGTTGTTTTGCTGTCGGGATCAAGCTTGGGGTCAGGTTCAGTGTGTGTCTGGGAGAGGGGCTACCCAGGCCTTTGCAAAAGTCTGAGCTCTGCAGCTGCCTAGGGCTGTGATACAGAAGGTGTGGAGAACATGGGCTGAGGAGGGAGGGGCCTTTCTGAGCTGAGAGAACTTGGCGAGTTACTTTTAACCTTCGTTTCCTGTAAGTTTCCCAAATTTCCTTCGGTTATTGATTTCCAGTTTCAGCCCATTTTGATTGGAGAACATACTTTGATTTCAGTCCCTTTAAATTTGTTGAGACTTGTCTTATGGCCTAATAATGATCTATTGTAGAGAATGTTCCGTGTGTGTGTGTTGTTTTTTTTTTTTTTTTAATTTTTTCTGGCCGGGCGCGGTGGCTCAAGCCTGTAATCCCAGCACTTTGGGAGGCTGAGACGGGCGGATCACGAGGTCAGGAGATCGAGACCATCCTGGTTAACACGGTGAAACCCCGTCTCTACTAAAAAATACAAAAAACTAGCCGGGCAAGGTGGCGGGCGCCTGTAGTCCCAGCTACTCGGGAGGCTGAGGCAGAAGAATGGCGTAAACCCGGGAGGCGGAGCTTGCAGTGAGCTGAGATCCGGCCACTGCACTCCAGCCCGGGCAGCAGAGCGAGACTCCGTCTCAAAAAAAAAAAAAAAATTTCTGAGACTGGATCTTGGTCTTTCACCCACGCTGGATTGCAGAGGCATGAACACAGCTTACTGCAGCCTCAACCTCCTGGGCCCAAGCAATCCTTCTGCCTCAGCTTCCTGAGTAGCTGGGACTATAGCCTATAGTGGCCACCACACCCAAGTAATTCTTTTTTTATTTATTTTTATTTTTTGTAAAGACACGGTCTCCTTTTGTTGCCCAGGCTGGCCTCGAGCTCCTGGGCTCAAGTGATCCTCCCGCCTTGACCTTCCAAAATTTTGGAATTACAGGCGTGAGCCACTGCACTGGGCCTGTTCTTTTTAAAAAAGAAACAAAGACAACAGTTCACCTACGACTGCAGTATCTGTGTGCTTTTGAGAAGAGTGTGTATTCCTGTGTATTTTGCTGTTGTTAGGTGGAGTGTTCTATATAGGTCTTCTAGGTCTAATTGGTTTATAGCGTCTAAATCTTCTGTTTCCTTGTCTATCTTCTATTTAGTTGTACTGTTCGTTGTTGAAAGTAGAGTGTTTTCTCTCTCTCATGTGTATATATAAAATAAAATGAAAAAAAAGTAGAGTATTGAAGTTTCCTACTATTATTTGAGTTGTTTATTTTTCCTTTCAATTCCGACAGTTTTTGCTTCATGTATTTTGGGGCTGTGTTGTTAGGTACATGCATGCCTATAACTGGTATAGCCTCCTGAGGGATGGACACTTTTGTTCATTATAAAATATTCTTTGTCTATAATAATAGTTTTCTTTTTCTTTTTCTTTGTTTTTTTTTTGAGATGGAGTCTAGCTCTGTTGCTCAGGCTGGAGTGCAGTGGCGCGATCTTGGCTCATTGCACCCTCCTCCTCCCAGGTTCAAATAATTCTCCTGCCTCAGCCTCCTGAGTAGCTGCAATTACAGGCGCCTGCCACCATGTATTTTGTCTGATATTAGTATAGCCATTCCAGCTGTCTTTTGGTTACTCTTTACAATGGTATCTCTTTTTCCATCCCTTACTTTTTCTTTTTTGGTACAGAGTCTTTTTTCTTTTTTGGTACAGAGTCTCACTGTGTTGCCCAGGCTGGAGTACAGTGGTGCAATCTGGGCTCACTGCAACCTCCACTTCCTGGGTTCAAGCGATTCCTCCTGCCTCAGCATCTTGAGTAGCTGGGACTGCAGGCATGTGCCACCATGCCCTGCCCTGCTAATTACTTTCAACCTATTTGTATCTCTGCATGTAAAGGGTTTCTTTTTTTTAAAGAAATTGCATCTTTTTTTAAAAAGTCCATTCTGCCATATAATTGCATATTTTTTTTAAAGTCCATTGTGCCAGCCTCTGCCTTTTAATTAGATATTTAATCCATTCACATTTAAAGTAATTATGAATAAGGCAGGATTTATGCTGCCATTTTGTGATTTGATTTCTGTATGTCTTATGTCTTTGTTATTCTTTTGTTCTTCCACTACTGTCTTCTTTTGTGTTAAATAGATATTTTTGAGTATACCATTCCTGGCCTATAAATAACGAGACACAGAACAGTAAGGGTTAAATAAAATGCTGCCTGCAATGGACTTAGCACAGTGCCTGGCAAATAGTAAGTGCTCAGTAAACAGGGGCACTCAATTGGGTCCCACATGTGGTAAGAGCCACAGTTAATCCTAGGACTGGCTGAGAGCAAAGTCCCCTCAGGGCTCTGTGCGACCCCTCATGTCTCCTGGGCAGGCCACAGCACTCTGCCGGGTAGTGCCTTTGGGGAATGGGGAGTGGTGGATCCTGGGAAATTTCACCATGCCAGGCTGTGACTCTTTAGCTATTCCTCTGCTGCAGTGCCTGGGCAGCACCTGGCTGCTTGTGAAGCATCCTAGATTCCCCATCATGCTCTTCCCACGCTCGACCCCTACCGCACCAGACCCATGAACTAGTCTCTCAGGGCGGGTTTTATTGCACACACTGAGGTTTAAGAACCACTCCTTGACATCTACACAGACGGGTATTGACACAGTGACAGAGAGACCTGGTTTGGGGTCAGGAGGCTTAGATTTGAATCTTGACTCCTCAGTCATGAGTTCTGTGAACTGGGACAAGTTACTTTCAGAGCCAGCCTTTCCTCGTTTCTCAGTTGGGAATAAGTGGTTATGTAGGTAAGCGGTACTCTGCCGCATTCGGCATACAGCTAGTCCTTGTGGCTGCTGTTCCGCGTGGCACTTGCTTTTTACAAAGGTGTTTCTTTGGTCCCTGGATGCAGGTCTCTTCTCACCCCAGGCTCTTAAGCTCCTCAAAGGCAGGAACCAGTGAGTGGCGGCTCCTGGACCAGACATCTGGTTGGTTACCTGACAAGCAGTCCACTGCCCTCCGTCTTGGTTCATGTTGTCTCCAGGCCCTGCTGCTCCCAGGCTCTGTGCAGGAACAGAAGGGAATTGAAGAAGCGTTATTGGATAGTAGTCTAAGAGCATGAAGATTCCTAATGAGTAACAACAATACGTGCTGGAGGGCCAGCTGGAGGAGGTAGGCCTTGAGGAAAAGCAGATTGTGAGAGTGGAAGCAGGGCTTCCAGGCAGAAGGAACAGCTCTAGGGGAGGCTCAAAGTCAGGGAGCTCCCCCAGGGATTGCCTGTCCCCAGGGGTTGCTTACCCCTAGTCCCTGCACCGGCTGCCTTGCATTATAATTAGCGTGTGTTTCTGTGCGTCTGTCTCCCCACCAGCCTGGAAGCTCTGTGTCTCCTGTGTCTCCCAGAGTCTGGCTTGCAGTAAGTGTTCAGCAAATGCTTGTGGAGTAGATGAAGGGGCAGCAGGCCCACCTGCAGAGCTGCAGCAGGGAGGGTGTGTGGTGGCGGAGGCCCCTGTGAGTGGCCTCATCTGTATCTTGGCCCAGGGCAGACTCTGGCATGGGGTACTCAGGCACAGACTTCAGAGAGCCCTGCTCTAGCCCTGCTGGGGAGCCAGGCCCTTCCAGAAGGGGAAGGAGGAGCTGCAGCAGCCTCCAGTGATGGGAGCTGCATAGGGCGTAGAGACGGTTTTGAGGAGACAGACCAAGGACCCCAGTGGTCCCAGGGCACCCTCGCTAGAGGGGCTCAGGAACATCTGCTGAGTCTCCTGCGGAGGAAGCATACATCTGCCTGCTTCTACCCTACTCCTGCTGGGATCCCTGGGTCCTACTGGAAGGGGTTTTCCAGGGCTGCCTGTGATTCTTCGTAGCCTTTGCCTAGGAGGAAGGCAGGCAGTTCCTTCAATGCAGGCAAAAGCTGAGCCTGAAGGCTTAATCCTTTTTGCCTTTGTTCATGACTGTTTTCTCTCTGCATTAGCAGCCCCCCACCTCCCCCATCCTGGCAAAACAAACTTGGCGATCCCAGCTTTCCATGGACACCCTGTGGGCATTTGTTGAGCTTTGCGGGAGGGAGGCAATCAAGGTAGAAGCCTGGACGGAACCCTGAGAGTGCCTCATAAGCCCTGAAAGGATTCTTCTCTTACACATCCCTTTAAAAGCATCTCAGTGCTGGCATTTTTACTGTGTAAGCTCAAACTTCAGGCAGCTTGAACCCTGGCCAAGCTTCTGATCCTGAGCAGCTTGATGGCTGAGACCCCTGGGACTCGTGACTCTCTGGCGTGTTGGCCTGGGTTCTCCTTTTGAGAGCTGAAGTTCAGTCCAGAGAAGTGATGGTCCAGGGACTGTCTGGATTGGGAATGGGCCGACCATAGGGCCTCTTACCTGCTCTCTCATGCTCCCAGGGAAAATGACGCTTGCGGGAGTCAGATCCACGTCTGTTGTATCAGAGCCTCCTTGTTTGCAAACCCCTTGAGAATAGGGCTTATGTGTCCAGTGGCTTGCAGAAATGGGGTGCACTGGCCTGTGTGTGAAGGCCCAGTTGGTGGGGATACATGTGGCGTTGCAGATGGGGTCCAGAGGGAAGGTTTGTCTAGGGCCTGGGCAACTCTAGGTGGCCCCAGATGGCAGTTCCAGGCCACGTACCCAGTCTGGCTATAGCTGGAGACCCCAGAATGTCTGAGAGAGCTTTTCAGGATGTGAGCCCGAATGAAGGGGCCAGCTGGACCGTGCTGTGCTCCTCTGGTGGGGGTGGCAGGGTCTTGTTATGGCTCCTTGGCATCCTGGCCAGACCTTAGTGTCTTGAGGTCCAGCCATGTCAGGGCATGAGGTAAACAGACCACAGGCTTATGTCCCTGGCTACTGTCTAGGTGGGGTGGAAGCCTAGAAAAATGGGGTGGAGGGCAACAGTGGAGCTGGCACTTTTCCAGCTGGCCAGCATGTGGTATGGGGCAGCAGGTGGCTTGTGGGCCAGCAGGGAGAAGGACTTGTGTTCCACATAGGTGGAGAGGGCCTGGGCCAGGGGTAAGGTGGGATCCTGGGCTGGGTCTTTTCACTTCATCCCAGCATCTTGAGGAGCTCTGGTGTGCATCAGAGAGCCCAGAAGTCAGGAGCAGGCAGGAGCCCAGGGCAGGAATGCGGGCTGTGTCACCTCTGCCCAGGCGTGGCTCTGACTCACCTTGGGCGCAGTCTTGAATGAGCATCCTGACAGGCAGATACAAACCAAGTGCCAAGGTACAACGGTCTGCCAACCCTGTCCCGTGGAGCCTGCTGTCTGCTGGGGGTGACGAAGCAGGCACCTGGGATTTAGTGTGCCATACACAGTGTGTTATAGGGGCTTGTAGTTCAGCTCCTGTCTCTGCTCTGGGGTCAAGGAAGGTTTCCCGGTGGAAACAGTGTCTGCAGCCTGAAGGATGAATAGGACCTGGCCTCATGAAAAGCGTGAGAAGTTGTCCCCAGGAAGGGGTACAGCCTGGCCAAAGACCTGGAAGCAAAGCAAGAAGAGCACGTTGGTGGCCCTGGCTCAAGCACAGACTGTCGAGAGAGGTGGCAGGAGCCAAGGTCTGCAGGGACTTGTGGACAGGGCAGGGAGTTTAGACTTTGTCCTAAGACAGCTCAGAGAACTGACTCGCCTGGAGACTCAGTTTGGGCCTGTCTTGCCCTTGGGTGACAGACACATGACCTTTGACTCCCCTCTTCCTAGTGCTGAGCTTGTGGGGCCTGCCCAGGCTCTAAGAGTGGGAGCTTGGAGCATTAGCCTACAAGGGCAGAGACCCTCGGGTCACCCCCAGGTCAGAGCTGAGCCCCTGCAGCTGCTGAGATCAACTTGGCATCTCCTCCCTGGCCTGTGTGACCTCGACTCACAACAGTCTTGTTTCTCAAATGGACACACTGATTGCCCCAAGCAGACAGGTGAGTGGCCCTGGTCCTGCAGTGGCTACAGTCTGGCCCCTTGCCCTGTGGTGATAGCTCACTGGCTTCTCCTGGGGTCGGTCAGCTAGTGTTGGGTGTGCGGCTGGGCTGCCGATGTCCCTTGGGGAGCAGTGTGTATTTGAGCTGACATCCCGGGAGAGCTGGTGTCACCATCAGCACTGAATACCCAAAGGCCTTTCCAGCACCTTCCCCTCATGTGTCTGCAAAACATATATGTGGGGTCAGCACGGTTTTTTGTGTTTTTTCTTGGTGCACACTGCTTTCTTCTATAGAGAGCAAGTGCTTTTCACCATAGAACTTCCTGAAAGCCTGCTAGGTCCCAGGCTTTGGTCTTGACTGTTGCCTTGTCTTTGGCCCAGGGGTACCTGTGGGTCTGGTCAAGGACTGGTTGCTGCAGAGAGGAGCCTGGAGGAAGGGAAAAGTGAATAGAGCGTGACAGTCAAACAGACTGACAGGGCGGACTGCAGTGTTTGGGGCCCCGTGGTGACTGTGGGTTTCCTTTTGCAGTGTTCCTGCATCCGTTGTCAGAGGCCCTGCAGCTCGTCCCAGGGCTGAGCTGCTGGCAGGAGTTCCTCGTTACATCCTCTTCCCTGCAACCTCAGGGACTAGGCCCACAGGTCAGCAGCCTTTGGAGGTGTCTTCCTCTTCCTCACTGTGAGGAAGGGCAGTCTGATTTCCACCTGAGGGACAGGGCAGTGGGGGTGGGGTAGAAGAAATGAGAGGAAGTGGTGCAGTCCTGACCCCGAGTTGCAGGCTGGGAGGAGCCCATGGGGTCTGAGAGCTGGAGGCACCACCAGCAGCAACTGAGCCTGGGTTGGGGTTGCAGGAGCCAGAGAGTCCCCAGATTGGGGACTAGAGTGGCCAGTGCAGGAGGAAGTGTTTCAGGCCTCCCTGCAGGTAGACCTCACACATCTGCTGACCCTCTGTGGTGAGACCCTTCCCTGCCCTCCCTTCCTGGAGGGTCAAGGGTCTCAGCCATATTTGGGGAGAATGGGAGAGAGTACCTGCCAAAGGTTCAGGCAGGGGTAAGGGGCTTCCCAGTGCCAGTGAGAAGGGATATCTGTGTCTAGAAAATCCTTGCCTGGAGGTGGTGTGGAGTGTGCTGTGGAAGGGAGGTGTATGAAGAGGGGTCTGGGGTCTTAGTGTGATGTCTTGGGGGGTTCCAGTCTTGGCTCTGCAACATAATGAATGTGTGACTGTGGGCAACTTACTTGGCCCCTCTGAACCTCATCTAGCTAACCTGTAAATAGAGGTTAAAATCGCAACACCTGCCTTATAAGGTCATGGTGGGAATTTAAAGGATACAAAGCATGTAGGATCTGCCTGGCACGGGTGTACCATCACCATCATCATTACTCCTATCAATACTTAGTGCCCTGCTGCCTAGGTGTGCCCCTTCACCCTTCCTCCCAGGCTGCCAGTATTTTCCACTCTTCTCCCCACTCCCAGCCAATGACCTTTCTTCTCTGAGGGTTCCAGGCCTGAGTGTCCATGCCCCTGGCACCCTTAGCTCTTCAGTGAGGCTGACAGAGAGGCCTCTGCAGCAAGAAGCTTCTGGGGTGATTCAGCCTTCCCCAAACCAGGCCCCTTGATTTCTTCAAAGCAAGTCCATTTCAGCTTCAGAGGCTGCTGTGGTGTCTTGAATGATGGCCCTCCTTGATGTGCAGGGTGGGAGTGGGAGGCTTCCCAGCTGAGCCCAGCTCCTCCAGGGCTGACCATACAGCTGTGGGTAAGCCCCTGTAAGACCTGCGTCTGGCCTCTGGCCCCTGCCCTGGGCAGAAGCAGGCTTGTCCTGGAGCCGCAGACCCCGCCTCATCTCCTTCTGTAAGAGGTGCTGAGCAGCCATCCCCATGGAGGGGGCGCAGCCCTCCATCAGGTTCACACTGGCACGTGCATCCAGGCCCACCTGCCACGTGGACCTTCCCTTGCTCCAGGCCTCAAGCCAGTGCTGTGGCTCACAAGGTGACAGGGCTGTGATGAAGGGAGGCGTGAGTGTGTGTGAGCGCCCACTGGAGGGGCTCGCAGCCCCCTGGAGGCATGTGGGCCTGCCAGGCTGGCGCACATTCTTCCTTCCTCTGTCTTGCTTCTGCAGACACGCACTTCTAGTTCTGTGGGCTTGATGTTCCCTCGGAGAGGCGGAGCC